ACTGACTACTACCAAACATACGGACTACTACCAGACATACTGCTACTAAGACCAACATACTGACTACTAACCAGAACATACTGGCTACTAACCAGCGATACTGACTACTACCAACATACTGGCTACTACCTGACATACAGGCTACTTCCAGACATACTGCTACTACCAGACATACCAGGGCTTCTTACAGACATACTACTACTACCAACATACTGACTACTACCAGACATACTGACTGCTACCAGACCTATGCTACTACCAGACATAACGACTACTACCAGACATACTGACTACTACCAGACATACTGGCTACTCCCAGACATACTGACTACTACCAACATACTGGCTACTACCAGACATACTGACTACTTCCAGACAATAACTGGCTAACCAAATACTGGCTACTACCGACATACTGGCTACTACCAGACAATAACTGACTACTACCAGACATACTGGCTACTACCTAACATACTGCTACTACCACCATACAGACACTACCAGACATACTGACTACTACCAGACATACTGAACTACTTCCCAACAATACTGACTACTATACTACCAGACATACTGGCTACTACCAGAAATACGACTATTACCAGACATACTGGCTAACTACCAGACATACAGGGGCTACTACCAGACATACTGGCTACTACCAGACTTACTGTCTACTACCAAACATACTGGCTACTACCAGACATACTGCTAATACCAGACTTACTGACTACTACCACAGACATACTGACTACTACCAACATACGGAACTACTACCCGACATACTGACCTACACCCAGACATACTGGCTACTACCGACATAACTGCTACTAACCGAACCTACTGACTACTAACTACAAGAAATACTGGCTACTACCAAGACAGACTGAGCTTAAAACCAGACAATACTGGACTACTATCATACATTACTGCTACTACCAGACATACTGGCTGACTTCCAGATATACTGGCTACAACCAGACATACCTGGCTCCTAACCAGACATACTGGCTACTAACCAGACATAGCTGGCTACTACCAGACAGACTGACTACTATACCAACATCCTGACTACTACAGACATACGACTACTACCATACCTACTGGCCACTACCAGACAACTGCTACATACCAGACATAAATGACTACTACCAGAAAATACTGGCTACACCAGACTCATACTGGCTACTACCAGACATTCTGACTACAACAAGACAGACTGACTAACTTTTTTACCGACATACTGACTACTTCCAGACATACCTGACTACTACCAGACATACTGGCTACACCAACCATACTGCTACTACCAGACATAACTGGCTACTACCAGACTACGGGCTACTACCAACAACTGGCTACTACCAGACATACTGGTCTACTACTCAGACATACTGGCTACTACCAGACATACTGGCTACTACCAGACATACTGACTACTAACCAGACATACTGACTACTACCAGACATACTACTACTACCAGACATACTGACTACTACCAAGCATACTGCTACTACCAGACCAGACGGCTACTACCAACATACTGACTACTACCAGAACACTGGCTACTAACACTCCAGACATACTGGCTACTAACCAGAAATACTGACTACTACCAGACATACTGGCTACTAAACCAGACATACTGGCTACTTCCAGATATACTGGCTACTACCAACATACTGGCCGCCTACCAGACATACTGGCTACTACCAGACCATACTGGCTACAACCAGACATAACTGACTACTACGCATACATACTGACGACTACCAACATACTGACTACTACCATCCAGACATACTGCTACTACCTAACAACTGGCTACTACCAACATAATGACACTACCAGAAATACTGCTACTACAGACATACAGGCTACTACCAAGACATACTGACTACTACCAGCTTACCTGGCTACTACCAGACATACTGGCGACTACCAGATATACTGGTCTACTAACCAACATATACTGACTATACCAAGCAGGGGGCCAGACCCCGAAGCAGGGCAGGGACGTGAGACAGTAACTGACTACTACCAGACATACTGACAACACCAGACATACTGACTACTACCAGACATACTGGCTACTACCGATATACTGACTACTACCCAGACATACTGCATACTACCAGACATACTGACTACTACCAGACCATACTGGCTACTACAGACATAACTGACTATACTACCAGTTCATACGACTACTACCAGACATACTGGCTACGACCAGATATACTGACTACAACCAGACATACTGACTACTACCTAGACATACTGAATACGACCAGACATACTGGCCTAATACCAGATATACTGACTACTACCAGACATACTGACTACTACCAGACATACTGACCTACTACCAGACATACTGGCTACTACCAGTCATAACTGACTACAATACTACCAGACATACTGACCTACTACTACCAGACATACTGGCACTACTAATAGAACTGACTACTACCAGACATACTACTGAACTCCTACCCAACATACTGACTACTACCCGACATACTGGCTACTACCAACATACGAAACTGTGATCTAAACTTGCCCAGCCAGCACCAAGTTGTCATGTAGAGTATTTAGAATGAAACCATCATAAAAAGATCGTAATTTTTGGAGAAAAAACAGTACTTGCCAACACGTCGTCTGCCTGCCAACAAGACAAAAAAATTACATCTACTGAAAACAAACTTAAAATACGATATAAAACCAGCTGATTACATCAACATGGGTTTGCCAGAATTAATGCTCTATTTACAATAGAAAAAAAACATTTTTTTTTCCATAATTTTTCAGTCCTTAACTTCTAATCTCTGAAACAAAGGCTTTCCCCCCTCCCTGATAAGTTTTTCCACATTAAAGTATCCTGACATCAACTTCGACTTTTGCCATGTTATTTACTTATTTATCCAGTCAAAAGATATTAGGAACTTTTGTATAATCCCTGAACACATTTGATACCGAAGGTAAAAAGTCGTTCTACACCAGGAGACAGTTTGGGTAACTTATTATGTGATATAATACATCGTTGCATCACAATTGCGTCGCATGACGAAGTAAACCAGATGGCCAAGCATGCCTGCATGTTTCCAAATACGTGTGACAAAAGCACTTGGAAGAATGCAGGTAGCCTTCCATCACCTTGCTCATCCTAAGAAACTAAGCCTCCTCAGTCGGGGACTAAAATTTGTCACCGGCAATCCATAACCCGGTCACCAACCTGACTTTATTGGCTCATCACATACACACGAAAAACAAGTTAAATGGAAGGTTATCTGCAACACATGTTCACCAGAACATGCAGGAGCCCTCGACACTCTCCGTCTCCCAGCGTAACAATCGAAGCTTTCTATAACCTAGCTAAGAACATGTGTTGTGTGTTGCAGTTGATGGAGGACTCATTGTTGTGTGTTTGCAGGTGATGGAGACCTCCTTGTTAGTGTGTATTGCAGGTGACCTGAGGACTCATGTGTTGTGTTTGCAGTGACTAGGACTCAATGTGTTTGTGTTGCAGGTGATGGGAGGCCTCATGTGTTGTTGTTGCGGTGACTGAGGACTCATGTGTTGTGTGTTGCAGGGACTGAGGAACTCATGTGTTTTGTGTTGCAGGTGATGGAGGACTCTGTGTGTGTGTGTTGCAGGTGACTGAGGACTCCAAATGTGGTTGTGTGTTGCAGGTATGAGGACTCATGTGTGGTGTGTTGCGAGGTGAACTGAGGACTCATGTGTTGTGTGGTTGCGCAGTGATGGAGGACTCATGTTTGTGTGTTGCAGTTGATGGAGGACTCATGTGTTGTGTGTTGCAGGAGACGGAGACTCATGTGTCGTTGTGTTGCAGGTGATGAGGACTCATGTGTCTGTGTTGCAGGTGATGGAGGACTCAGTGTTGTTGTTTGCAGGTGAATGGAGACTCATGTGTTTGTGTGTTGCAGGTGATGGAGGACTCAGGTTTGTGTGTTGCAGGTGATGGAGGACTCATGGTGTTGTGGGTGCTAGGTGTTGGAGGACTCAGGTGTTTGTGTGTTTTTTCAGGTGAGAGGACTCAGGTGTTTGTTGTGTTTGCAGGTGATGGAGGAATCATGTGTTGTGTGGTGCTGGATGGAGGACTTCATGTGTTGTGTGTTGCAGTGATTGTAGGACTCTGGTGTTGTGTTGTGCAGGTGATGGAGACTCATGTGTGTGTGTTCAGGTGATGGAGGACTCAGTGTTTGTGTGTTGCAAGTGCTACATAGGACTCATGTGTCGTGTGTTGCAGGTGACCTGAGGACTCATGTGGTGGTGTGTTTTGCAAGTGCTACTGAGGAATCATGTGTGGTGTGTGCAGGTGACGGAGACTCTTGTGGTGTGTTGCAAGTGCTACAGAGGACTCATGATGTGGTGTGTTCAGGTGACGGAGGACTCATGTGGGGTGGTGTTTGCAAGTGCACAGAGGACTCATGGTGTTGTGTTGCAGGTGACGGGGGGGAGGACTCATGTGTGGTGTGTTTGCAGGTGACGGAGGACTCATGTGTGTGTGTGCAGGTGACGGAGGACTCATGTGTGCGTGTGTTTTGCAGTGACGGAGGACTCAAATGTGTGGTGTGTTGCAGGTGACGGAGGACTCAATGTGAGGTGTGTTTGCCAGGTGACGGAGACTCATGTGTGGTGTGTTGCAGTACGGAGGGACTCATGTGTGGTGTGTTGCAGGTGACGGAGGACTCATGTGTGGTGTGTTGCAGTGACGGAGGACTCATGTTGGTGTGTTGCAGTGACGGAGACTCATGTGTGGTGTGGTTGCCAAGTGACGGAGGACTCATGTGTGGTGTGTTGCAGGTGAACGGAGGACTCATGTGTGGTGTGTTGCAGGTGACGGAGGACTCAAGTGTGGTGTGTTGCTAGGTGACGGAGGACTCATGTGGTGTGTGTTTGCAGTGACGAGACTCATGTGTGGGTGTTTGCAGGTGACGGAGGAGAGGATGCAAGAGGGAACCCAACGTCAGGAAAGATGGTGTCTTCCCCAGGCCGTAACTTTCTGGACCTCTTCAGACATCCCAAACCTGCCGCAAGAAAAACCCTCACCATCTTCTTTAACTGGTAACGACCTAAATTTAAGCTAGAAAATACCACCACACAAACCAAATTAATAACTAAATTTAATACAAACTCCAGTTTAAGGTATTCTTAAAAACCGCCTTCCTATATTTCGAATATCCTGGTACTCTTTAACTCTATGAACAACTATACCAGCACAATATGAACACCAATACCAGCACATATGAACAACTATAACCACACATATGAACAAGTTAAGACACATGGCAACATCTGGGATAGCTTTAATGTAGACGGTTTCGCCATCCAGTGGCTTTATCAATACAGATCTAGACATAACAGAAGACAGGGTAGAAAAAAAAACCCATTAATATACAAAAGATGAGGTAACAGTCCCTCAGCCTTGGAGTTAGTGTTCACAGCAATCGTGTTGAAGAGAGTCTGGACAAAGGCAAGAAGGACTGGCGTTTTTTTATAGGCGAGTCAGTGGGAAGGGACGGGGCAGCAGACGAGGGCATCACTGTAGCGGGATTCCCCAGTGGAAGTAGGTGGGTCCCCTCCCAAAGAGATGGGTTAGTTGCAGCAGCCGTGAAGAAGGTCTTGTAGATTTCCTCTGAACCAAGAGGACTCATGGGAATCTTGGTTCAGCAGGACCTCTACAAACCTTCTTCACGCTGCTGCAACTAATCCATCTCTTTGGGAAGGACCTACTTCCACTGGGGAATCCCGCCTAACCAGTGACTGCCCTCGCTGCTGCCCGTCCCTTCCACTGACGCCTATTAAATCGCCAGTCTTCCTTGCTTTGCTCCAGACTCTCCTTCACCACGATGCGGTGAACACTAACTCCAAGGGCGAGGGACTGATTATTACCTCAATCTTTTGTATATATTCTACGGTCTTCCTATTATTCCTAGAATCTGTTTTTGATAAAGCTCTGGATGGCGAAAACGCTTACAATAAACGATATCCAATGTTGCAACATGTGTCTTATTTCATATTTGTCGCGTATTTTATACCTTTCTGCACAACATATGAACAACTATACCAGGCACATATGAACAACTATACCCACACATATGAACAACTAAACCACACATATGAACAACTACACCAGCAATTATGAAACAACAATGCTACAAAGCATGAGTCAATAAATGGTAAAAAAGCAAGATCGGCAAACCCTAAAGTAAAGAATACTATTAATCACCCGTAATTGACTTTAGGTATGAAATAAAGATTTATCTAAAAAATATACCAGGTAACGGGTGGGGTTAGAACCCGTGGCACTATAAACACAAATGCCAGTATAATGTGATCCTTATTGACTACGTTTCGCCCACACAGTGGCTTTTTCAAGTCACAAACAGAACTACCTGGGGTGGCGGAACGCGAGTATTAATATTCCGGCTGAGGTCAGTTGGAAGAATCTTGCATCTGATGATGTACCGAGTGGGGGTTAATAGGTCCTAAAAACTTGGAGCTTTGGAAAGGAGACCACAAGTTTTTGAGCAGACCATCTACAGGTGTCTGTATGTTGGATAGTGAGCGAGGAGCAGAGAGTTTCGTGGGCAAGTGGTGATTCTGCTATGTTTATATAAGCCACTATTCGGTAGAAGTTGTCGGATATAAGAAATAAGTGATGATTCCAGGATTCTTCGGTATTGAGTGTTGTCCTTCTGTGGCGAAAGTCTGAGTTTCTGTAGTTTATCAAGTGGTTGTGTGAATTACGTGTGTACGCAGGCATTCTTTTGTCGTCAGACCTGCTTGCGTATGGTGTTCTGAATTCGTGTTTGGAGGTCCCTTGATGTTTCGCCCTACGTATAACTTGTTGCATCATTGCAAGGGACTATTAATACCTCACCGGACCTATTAATACTCGCGTTCCTTCCACCCCAGGAAGTTCTGTTTGTGACTTGAAAAAGCCCACTGTGTGGGCGAAACGTAGTCAATAAAGGATCACATTATACTGCATTTGTGTTTATATTGCCATTGTGCGGTATTTAATACCCATTTATTTCCATGGGGTTTGACCATGGCAAGTGAAAATGTCAATTAAAACTCCAGCCGTGCGTAAGTCACTGGACCAGCTGGCTACAGGAAATACATCTAACTAGGTATATTTAATACACTATAGGAAGGTAGCATGGGCCACCATCTGGGAGCCCATGCTAACCTTGTGTTAACTCAAGTTAATACATGGAGACTTATTTATCCCTTGAATCTCAAACTGTATTTTATATATTAAACTGCTAGTAGTTCCTACTGAGTATAATTAATCTAGAGAATGTAATTGCAAGTGAAGAGATGTGCGAAATACATATTAATTATTGAATAACAGAGTATTAAAGGAGCGCCTTTCATCCTTTCTACTTGCATCTCTCCATTTCCTTAAAGGAATGTACCTTTTGAGCACCTCAAGTGAAACAGAGATAATTTTTTCTAGACAGAGGTTGGATCCATGTTGCGTAGGATATCTTTGCAGAGCCTATTTCGTTGAGGACCTGGTGCCTGACCCACTGTATAAACCATACCACGGCGGGCTAGAACCCGCGATCAGAGTCTCAAAACTCCATACCGTCGCATTAGCTCACTGTACCAGCTAGCCACTGTATTTTTTGCTATTGAAGATGAATTTGGTGAAGACCTACACGCTTGTTGGACTTAACACATTTTGGTTGGACTGGGGAATCCGCCGCATATATGTCAGTACCTCTTTATTGTTGTGATTTGAGTATATTTTTTTTGATATGTAATATTTTCGTATCAGAGATTTAATATTTTCATGTGTGGTGCGAGTTTTAATTCTGACTGGCCTCCGGGGTTAATCTCTGCTACACACCATTTTTTGCGTCATTTCCTCCATTTTAGGTATCTTAGGTTGAAATCCCCCAGCAGCAAGAGTTTTTGGTGCAGGAGCTGAAGATATTCCAGACAGTGGTCGATTTTCAAAGCTGTTCTTGAAATTGTTGGGAAGTTACTCTGGAGGATTGTATACAACCGGCAATGAACCCAGGTTTTGGTTCTTGGTCTTTACTACCTAAACATTCAACATCACAGCCAACATTTAGCCACAGGCCCATGGGTCCAAAATGGCTAAAGCGCTCGCTTCAACAACGGCAAGGGTCCGAGTTCGATCCCGGGAAGGTAAAACATTGGCGTGTTTTCCTTACACCGGTTGTCTATGTTGCCCATCAGTAAAATTGGTTACATGGTGTGAGTGACTGGTGGTGGGTCGCATCCTGGACTAAACTGACTTGAATTTGCGCCAGGGCGGAATAAATACCCAGCAGAAATGACAGAAATCGTACATCCAAAAAAAACGCCTATCATTAATGGAGTGGCATCACAGGCAAGGCCTCCACTCCAAAACAACAAACATTAGTGCCAGAAAAAGCTCCGCCCATAACACCAATATACACATTCATCTTTGAAATGTACAGGGTCTCAACCAGGCAAAAACAAACAAAATACCTTCATCATGGACTGCTACATAATCAAGAGGTTTTCCCACAGAGACCCACATAAAGGATCTCTTGGACAACGAAATGTGGATCCAGGGTGGATTCAGTGGCGACAGAGTGAACAGGCACAAGGTTGGGGTTAGCTTTGCGTCAGTCAACTTGACAAAATGCTTTTGAACTACTAAACACCTCAAATAATAATAATAATAAGTATAAAATAATAATAAAAATAATAATAATAATAATAATAATAATTAATAGTAATAATAATAATTATAATAATAATATTAAGCCAGTAATACCTTGTACATGTACGACAAGTACATGTACAAGGTATAGCTGGCCTAGCTGACTTTAGCGACATTACTAAGAAAAACATAAAACAACGAAATTTAGTCACTGCAGAAGGCCTACAGGTCCATACAGGCAGGTCCTTATCAAAACGAACATCTACCTAAAGCAACTCAAGAAAATAACCCCGTACCCAATGACACCAATCAACCCCACCCTCCCCTCATATAATTTTGTCCATCTCTTCTTAAAGCTACCCAAGGCTCCTAGCCTCTATCACCATCACCCCACTGGAAGACTGTTTCCACGCATCTACAACTCTGTCAGAAAACCTGTACTTACCTATGTCCTTTCTAAATCTCAATTATCACAACTTAAACCATTATTCTGGTTCTTTACCTGGTTCGACACCCTCAGTACGTTATTAATGCTCCCTTGTTTTATGCCCTTCATCCACTATACACTTCAAGATATCTCCCCCTCATTCTAAAATCCTAACGCCCCTCCATAAGTGAGATTTAAGGCTTTAAGTCTATCTTCATACAGGAGGTTCCTTACACAGTAAATCATTTTAGTCATTCTTCTCTGTAGGTTTTCTCTAATGAGTCATGTCCATCCTTAGTAATGGGGAGACCAAAACTGGGCACTTAATCCAAATGAGGTCCTCACTAGTTGAATGAAGATTGAGACACTTATGCAGCATATGGGAATCATCTTGTATTCAGGAAACGTTTCGCCCACCAGTGAACTTATCAATCAGTCCAATACAAAGAGGAGGTTAAGGAGAGAGAAATGAGGTACAGTCCCTCAACCTGGAGCGATTGTTCAAGTTCCATCAATCTTTGTAGAATGACAGCATAGGGCCTAGACGTGGCTTATATACTGTAGTGAGGGTGACTTGAATGGGAGTGGATGGTAACCACTATGAACCCGCCTCCACCTGCGTCAGCGTCAACACACACTGTATATAAGGCCACGTACTACGGCCCATGCTGTCACCCCCCCCACCCGGGGGCCCACGGCCGGGTCACCATCTGGAGAAAGACCTGGCCAAAGGACCTCGAATCAACATGAAATGAAAATGAACACCAAACACACGACACTCCTCCACACAGGATAGCACAGCGCTACACGATCGACACCATGCAATTGCCCTGCATAGGCATGGTGGGTGCCATGCCCGAGTTTGTAACCTTACAAGATGAGGGGGGACTTGTGCATCCTCCCATGGGGAATTAGCTCAGACACTCCCTAGACGAGGGAGACCCGTGCCGGGCCACCACTTGGAAG